ACTTGGGAGCAGGAAAAATCAAATCCTTAGCCAAAGATTACATGTGGTGGCCTGGCATAAATAATGATATTGTTACGGAAGTGAAAAGTTGTGACGATTGTAATATATATCACGATAATCCTATTAAGATACAAAAACCATGGGTTTCGGCAACTAAACCGTTTGAAAGGATACATATAGATTATGCGGGTCCGTTTTTCGCAAAAAATTGGTTGATAATAGTCGATGCCTATAGCAAATTTCCAATTATTATTCCTGTTAAAAATATTACGACTAATGTTACTTTAAAAGAAATCTTTAAAACTATTTCGCTATACGGAATACCTGAAACTATAGTTACTGATAACGGTACTAACTTTACGAGTAACGATTTTGAAAAATTTTGCAACAATTTTGGTATTAAACATGTGCTTACATCTGCTTATCACCAGCAATCCAATGGCCAGGTTGAACGCATGGTTAGAACGTTCAACACAACACACATGAAAAGGAATATTAAAATAGACCCAGATATCGCACTTAGCAAATTTTTACTTAATTACAGAAATACGCGTAATGATACTACAGGAGTTACACCATCACAGAGAATGTTTAATCGAGATATTAGAATTAAATGGGACTTATTAAAACCGATGGAGGAAAAGAAGAATAAAATAAACGTTACCTTACCACGAAATAGAACTTTTAACATAGGAGATTTTGTTTGGTATAAAATACAAGGTGATGATAAATGGTGCAAAGGTATAATCACACATAAGGAAAGTGATATGATGTTCCAAATTAAGACTGAGAAAGGTATTTTGAGGAGACATTTAGATCAAATAAGAATTAGAAACTGTTTTAACACAATTATTAACAATGACTCTAAGGATTCTTTTAAGGAGGGAAGTATGGACAAAAATATAAAAATTACTGATAATAATGATATAACACCTATCTCTAGACCTGTGCGAATTAAAAATAAACCTGCTTATTTAAAAGACTATGTAACTTAAAAAAAATATAAAATAAATATTAAATTGCATAAACTAAATTAAATATTAAAACGCTTATATTAAAACGCTAAAAATATAACAATCTTATTGATTTATCATTCTTCATTTATTCTTATGATGAACTATTATTTCTTATTCGCAACTTATTTTGTTGATTTATCATTCTTCATTTATTCTTATGATGAACTATTATTTCTTATTCGCAACTTATTTATGATAATAACAATTTCGGAAAAATGACAATTAACAATTGAGTACTATCAAACAAGCTATGATTAATGGAGACAATTTACGATATGGATATCGAGCTTGCGATTTAAACAAACCAACGTGCAAAATCGATTTATACAAACCAACGATTGGACAAGCCAACGTTATGATGATTTGTGATACAACTTGATTACCAAAACGATAAACCACTTGGACAACAAACTCTCTGTGTCTTCTCCGATGAAATTATCAGAAGAGGGAGAATGTTGCGTTATTATAATTATATATTTTTGTAATCTAATTTTATTTTTATATTACATTACATTTTATGAATTCAAATTTATCTTTTCAACTTAACTTTTTATTTTTGTAATTCAACTTATATTACTTATTATTTTGCGTAACCTTATTTATATAACTTTCGGTTTAACTTTACTTTTTTTATATTATTTTATTTTTTATATTTGTTTATATTCTAATTTATATTTTATAAAAACGTATAAATACTTTAAGAAAAGAAAAAGAAATTAGTTAATAAAGTTAATAAAATATGTTTTTTATTTGATAAAGTTATTAAATCTTATTTATCATTCACCGGCACATATTCATGTTATTTTACACTTAGATATTGATGAGAATATAAAATTGCTATGGCTTTTGTATTTGTTTATATTTTATTCGCTTCTTGAGTAAGCAGGTTGCTATTAATATTTACGGGGAAGGATGAGACACATGTATATTCCCAAATAAGGAATTTGCCCAAACCGTGATCTGTGGAGAGGTTACATGATTTTACAATATTTGGTATACGATCCTTTTTTTAATAGGAGGTTTGATAATTTATTTATGATGAATGACGTTGATGACGTCCTTGACTTTTAATGCAGTTGAACCATGCCTTCTCTTGGAATTTACTAAAAGATTGCAGTTCCTACAATGAGTTTGAACTAGGGATAGGAGTCTATAACATGGAGTCACTCTTAGTTGTTCATTGGTTACGAGATTCCCCAGGTTTATGCTCGAAAGGGCTTCCAGTCATTCGTGGCCTGTGATTTTAGAGGATGTCCTCGAGGGATGAAGAGGAAGATAAATCTGTAAAAGATTTTAATATTAGGGATAAGATGTTCTATGGTTGACTATTGCGGAAGAAGGTATATCATGAGGGAACCTAATGAGAGCTTGATCTAGTAGGATATCGGAAATATAAAGCTAGATTTAGTAAATTTTGTTAAACGGAGATATAGAGAAAATGTACAGGGAATGGAGGGAAATTAAGTCGATGCCCCCCATTTTTGGAGGCAATTGGGCTAATAAAGATTTAAAAAGTGTTTCCAAAATCTTTATGAAACTTTAAGTAAAAATGAAGAGAATCTGAATAAATGTAGAATTTTGGGTATATATAGGCAATTACGAATGATATAAAGGCTCTGGTGAGCTGGCATTATATTTAAAAAAAATTTCCATGTTGTTGATATTGTTAAAACTTTGGATAATGAAGACTCAAATTGGGGGAGTGGGGGGGGGGTTGATAGGAATGATCCTAATAGGGTAAGGTTTTTGATGTCTAACCCTGTAACTCTATATTATTATCAAGGAAACAAATTTCCGTTTTGGGCTTGTTAAGAGTGAGTTCTATGTTTTTTTAAATTTGATTTGAGGAAGTTTATATGAATAGATTCTTAGATAGTTCCATCATCGAGATACCATATGTTGAGGTCCAAGTAAAATTTGGATATAATGTCATGGGTAAAGTCATGAATGCCATGGAAGAATAGGAGTGAACCAAGTGTAATCACCCTGCTGGATACTTTCTCCGGAGTCTATGATATGTGGACTGAGTAGAAGGAAAATTTTAATGCCATAACATGTTTGTAAGAATTTTGAATAAGTTGTAAATTTTTCATAAAAAATATTTAAAGATCATTAGATATACTGTTGAAAACATTTGTGAAAATGAAATAAATAAATCTCATATCAACTAAGCATATGTTTTTTCTTAAAATTCCATTATTAGAAAGAGTGTGAAAATATGAGTAAAGGTCAATGTAACTCAATATCTACGATTATATTTTTAGATTTATATTACTAAATAGAAATAAAAACCACTATATCATACATTACTAAATGGAAATACAAACCATTACAACATATATTATTAAATAAGCATATAAACTACATGTCATATATAACTGAAAGGAAATACGAACCACTATATCTAACAAATCTCTCTAATCCAAGCCCTATCCTCTAACATTCATTTAAAATTGATAGCAAGTTTAAAAATATCGATATTTCTTGCATATATGTTCTTACATTGGGATAAGGAATATACGAAGATTCGTAATATTGCAATTTGGAATCATTTATTGAGGGTTACTTATAAATTGGGAAAATCGACTTCACCGGAAATGTATTCCAGAATATATAGAGTATATACCATATAAATTTTTTAAAATAAATTTAGGCTAAATTTAAGAAGTTTCAAAAATCAATTATTTTTTTAGCTACCCGCGATCAGCTGGCAAAAATATTTTTAGAACCCCAGGCTCGGATCAAAAGGCCATCTCGAACTTGGAATATTTATTTTTCCCGCATTTTTTTAATATTATTCATTGAATTTAAAATATTCAGCAAATAACTTTAAAATATTATCTTTAGGAATTGATTCCAAATCGTCTAAAACAAAAATCGCTAAAAATTGTCTGGCTTATATATATATCTCCTAGAAAAATTTTTAAGGTAAATTTTAAAAATTAATATTAATAGATGCTAATGGAGTAAACACATGTATTTAAATTTAAAATTTTTTTTAAAAAAATGACTAAAATGGAGAAAATATCATCCAAAATCTTTCATTTTTACAATTGTGATTATGAAATCATGAAGGAGAATAATAGGAAGAAAATTTAACATTAATAATATTCGTAACTGGAATAAAATAATAGGATAATTTCCTCAAAAATTTTAAATGCCCGATTTTAATATTCTCTTCGGGTCAGAAGAGAAGAGAAGAGAAGAGAAGAGAAGAGAAGAGAAGAGAAGAGAAGAGAAGAGAAGAGAAGAGAAGAGAAGATGTCAATAAAGAAATTATTACATTCGTTTTACGAAAATATTTTATTGATACAATGAAAAATTAATTATTTTGCTCTTTTTTCATGAATAATATTATATTCAAGAATACCTATAAAATTGTATAATATCCTTCTTCGGAGCTTAATAATGTTTTCAATTTTCTTTGTATATTTGAAACAATTATGGGATCAAATTTTTTTTTATCTCGGATTGATTATTGGTATTAGAAAGAAGGGGGTCCAATGCAGATCTCTAATTAGAACTCTGACATCTAAGTCAAAATCATAACCTCTGAAAGCATTTACAAATTTAAAAATGCTGACATACAGCAAATATGTATCCGGATAGAGTATCGATTACTTTGCAATATATATTTTAATTCTTTTTGTTTTGTATATCAAAATTGTTATTTGATTTTAGATGGTGTTATAACCTAATGATAAAAATTTACGATAAAATTTTTGTTTTATTACAACAAATAATAGAAAATCGTTCTAATCTAAATAAATTAATCGGAGAAGTCAAATGTAATCATTAATCACGTAATCAGATTTTATGAGACCATAACAGAAATTCTAAAATATATAATCCAAGGTCACATCATTTGTTATTGTTGTTGAGTTTCTTGATTCTTCTAATAACTATACTATCCAGATAAGATATATTTTTATTCATATATATATATATACGTTATATAAGAATTTTAATCTTAAAAAAAAATTTTTCATTTTACTAATAAATTTATATTTAAAAACTTAAAAAAAAAATTAACAATGCTTAAGAATATCTCGTTAATTCTATTATGTACTCTCTTGATTGGTAAGTTTAATTTATTGATATAGTAATAATAAAAAAAAAGTATTATATTATTTCTATAAAAAAATAATAATAAAAATATTGTACCTTTTTTTTAAAATAAGATAATTAAAACATTTTTACTATTATTTATTTTGCTATTATAATAATAATATATATGTCGCATGGGGATTCGGAATCTCTTGGCATACTAAAAGCGATATCTGGATTTTAAAAATCTGCTCTTACAGGTTGTATTTCAGCATGTATAGAGAGAGTATTCAAAGCCAAACTGTAAATTTCTAACAATTTTGCCATAAACTTTAGAACTACTTCTAAGTCATATTAATTTTTATATGAATTTTTCATATTAAATTTTTTTAAAAATTACTAAAATGTCTGTGACTGAAATTGGCTGAAATTTTTTAGGGTAAATTCCCTACACTTGCTAAAATGCATTTCCGTTTAATCGGATTTTAAAATTTTTTAAATAGCCCTCGGTGAATAATTGGATTCCGAATTCTCATACGATATATATAATTTTTTGTAATTTTAGAAAAATTTTATCTAAAAATAAGTTACAATATAAACCGTTATCAAAATAAAATATGTTTTTAAAAAAAAAACAAATTAGAATATATAATAAATTATACGAAAAAAAATATATATATACATAAAGAATTATATATAAAAAAAAATTAAAAATGAACCTTTTTTTAAAAAAAATAGAAACATGTCATCCTAGAGAAGAGTGTAAGCTTAGGGAAATTTCTGAGAAATCTAAAGACGAAGGTAGAGTCCTTCGCTGAGAGACCCTGTAATCTATCTTCTTTTTTTTTGCCTATGGTTTTAATTATAAATTAAAGGCCTATTTTCCGAACATTGCTAAGGTATTGGTGACTTTTTGTATGAAGACTGTGTTTACGTGTTTATTTTTTAAAAGACTTCTGTCATTTCGATCGCCGAACACGAGAAGTTTTGTCCTTAGCTAAATCGATGCAACTATAGTCCCAGGTCAGTTGGAAACCGCTTTTTCTGAGGATAAGGGATATACCTTCAGGCATAGGGCGTTTATATGAAAGGCTCACTGTAAGAGTGGATAAAGATATAAGGGCAGCTAAAAGAAATTTGTTTATGGATTTTTGGTGTGTACGATATCCGCGATTAAACTTGCAGTTCGATAGACTGACCAGATCTACCCAAAGGAGGGTACAACTGTAATAAAGCCCAAGCAAAGAGGTATGGCTATGCGTAGTTGTTCACCAGCCATGAGGAGGCCGAGATTGGAACTGGGAATGGCTTTTAACCATTCATAGCCAGTGATTACCTTATCTTTATCTTTATATATTTTTTATATATCTGTTGAATTATATAAACATTTAACAATCTATGATTTTATTTTTAATTTATAATAAATATCAATTTTTTTTATCCTTCTCACAACAATAAAAGATTAAATAATTAATAAAAAAAAAATAGCATTTAAAAATATTTAAAAAAAACAAAAGGGACAACAAAAATAAAAATATAATCATTTATTTCAGAGCACCTAGAACGATGGCATAATTAGGCCATGACTTCAAGCAATATATGGCTGCCTGATGTCAGAGCCATATCCGGGATTTTCCTATAGGCAAGATAAACTATCAGGAAAGTTTTTCTGCCATAAATTTTATGAGGTCTTTTAGGCCCACTTTATTGTAAATCATTTAGCTATGTTATATTTGTAAATAATTTTGGAATTATTAATTTTTATAATTATTTCTCTTTCAAATTATTGTTTCTAAGTCTTAAATTTTATACATTATTTTACGGTATCGAGGTGCGTTGGGGGGGGGGGGGGGTGTGTAGGGGAAACATATTTATTAATTTAAAAACGAATTTCCGATGGGGTAAAAAATAATTCTCATTTTCCCACCCTATGGCTAAGCCTACCTGATATAAAATCCTTCCTTTAGCCGCCCTAACCCCACTAATATATAATATAATTTTTCCTACAGTTTTTTATTATAGAAAGACCAAAAATTCCTTTTCATAATTTTCGCGCCCTTATGCCAATGGGAAACCATCTGCCTAAGATGTGAAGGTTTTTATGATCACTGGAAATAGCTCGGTGGACTTGATATAGGAATATTTGGTTTTATTACTCAGATTTTTAACGATAATAGAGTTTAACTTGCTATTTCGGGTAATATTGTAAAACGGCTCTAAAGATGACTAAGTCAATATTTTATTCATATAAATATTATACAAGCCTGAAGATTTTTCTCATAGATAGAACATTTATTATTGAAATCTCCAAGCTTAGGCAATATTTTTCTGGCTAAAATATTGAATTAGCCGCATATAAAAAGAGGGTTATTTAACAACACTAATGTTGGGAATGGCGTTTCTGAGATACCTAGAGTCCAAATGAGTGTATACACAAACGGTAGGGGTATCAACATGGCAACCGAGGAGGATGGGGATGATTCACAGCTATTCTTACCAGACTTGGAAGTTAGAATTGATAGGGTTGAGTTATTACTTAAATGTTCACTCGATTAAGTCTAACCAATAGAGGGAGAAAATAAGGAAACATTTGAGTCTTTTTATAGGAATGTTAAGGGTTTGCGCTTAGTCAATATAATTTAGAAAATCCTAAATCAGAAACACTTGTAAATGCGGGAAAGCATCAACAGTCAGCTAAATATATATATTTTCCAACATCTAATATACAGGATACTAGCTAGCGGGACTATTAATTAATGAATTCTTTTTTTTAAAAAATTAAATGTTTAAATGTTCCCATATCTCATGTTATTTTTCCTTATTCTTCTTACGTTTTTCCCCAAATTGTTTCTCACCGAAAATTATACATCTAAGTTATATGATCCATTCGACAAAATTATACCTATATACAATAAATAATATTCCCCTATAAACAGTGAAAGATTTAATTATATATTTCCTGCATCTATTTATTTAGCAGTTACAATTGGTGAAGCGATAGAGAACACTTGTGAATTCGGTAAATATGGAACTAATTGTTCTGCAGGTTTTAATAAAGGAATAATATATTATAATAGATATAAACAGCTTTTTTAGGTCTAGTTTATAGAAACCGCGGAATTCGCGCTACATCGTTTCTCCGTTCAGCTATTTAGATTATAAAATCAAATAAATTTGAGCTACGCGATAAGATGAACTGACGTGATTATTAGCTCTTATCATTTAGAGCTACTCCCCACGTCGCTCAAGCTTAACCGCGATTACTATAGCCAGACCTTAGTATTTTAGGAGTCTGTTATTTGTATCTTTAATTTTGTTTGTTTTTATGTTTATGAATAATATTTAATTTAATTATATTATGTTATTTATGGAAAAAAAAATAGGTTGCGATTGTAACCAAAATAGATCAGCCGGAAATTGCTCTTACTTCGGGAATTGTTATTGTCTCGATGGTTACTGGGGCAACAAATGCCAAAGAAGTAAATCCTTAACTATTCACGCAACACGCAACAATTTATAGATTATAAAGCCGATTAAATAAATAACACCCTAGAATGTTATAAAGATAATATACAAATAAAATCACCCTTTTTTTTTGAATAGCAGATTTGGCTTAAAAAAAATAACAAACTTTAACTGATATGAATCTAGTTATCTCTAATCCTAAAACTAATTTCCTCTTACAGGTATAAAACTTGGAAAAGGAGGTAGTGTTAGGTTGGTGTTACCTAGAGTGAGCGGTTAGTGGCGGCTAACCTCAAAAATTTTAAAGATACTGTATCGAGTCACGGAAAATAAAACCGCCTAGTGACCTCTTACCCGGGATTAGGGTTAAACCCGCGGTTTCTGGATTATTTTGTATCGTAAAATAAAATTTTGTTTTTGCTTGTTAAATTACTCTTACGATGCCATTTATTGGGTGTAAAAATAAGTATATGTTTAAACTCAAAAAATGTTATTCATACTATAAGGATGCGATAGTAACTGTCCTTTGAAGTGCAATCGTGTAGGTCACTGCATATGTGAAGATTTTATGTATGGACAAGATTGTGACAGAGGTATGATGTTAAATTATTAATATATTATAAAAAACCTCAGTTTATGTAAAATCGTATGTTACATTACCCTGTAAAAGTAGTAAGATCGTTGTTTTGTAACATGTTACTCTTTTCGGTATCTATAAAATATTATTTTTTAAGTATTAAATAAATTACCTGAGCACGCATTATACTGTTATTGTAAGTGTATCCAGAACGGTTAAATTATAATGATGAAGGCTGCATTCGTAGGGGGATCCGATTCAACGCTATTTAACAGCTGATTGATTTTAAAAATCTATCAGCTGAGATCAATTATTTTTTAAATAATATTAATTTTATCTTTAATTCTATGCATGATAATAACTTAAGAAATATTGGTTTTAATAAAGAAAAATTGAAACCGTTTTAAAAATCGTTCAGCTAAAGCGTGTCGGATCGGATTGCGGCCGAATATCTTTAATTGTTATTCTAATTTATTCTATTTTCTAAAAGTATTATTTTCCAATAACAATTCTAATTTTTTAATCCTTCTGATGCGGCTCTATCAGCTGTCCGGAACCATGATATTAAACTATTTTCTAAATTCTTCACAGGTTAACCCATCATTCCCAACTCTCTATAAACAAATGGCAGGTGCCAATGAAATTTAATTATTATCGAATTTTTTATTCTGTATATTTTTTACTTGATAGATCATTATTTATGCATGAAATTTAATTTAAATATTTTGTAATATAAATTAAATGAAAAATAAACATATCCCTACTATAAACCTAAAACGCTTTAATTTAATTTTTAATTATCTTTTTATTAATAAGTCTGCCCATGTGATCGCAATGTTTCGTCTGGCTGTAATATCCTTGGTAGATGTCTATGCAAAATTATCCCTGCCAATGAAACTCGAAGTATCTAATATAATATATATAGTTGGGGTTTTACATACAGAGCCGTAACTACAACCCCCCCCCACCCCCGAGGTTATTAATGATTCAACACCCCTCTCCTAAAAATGTTTATATTAGATGATTAATATTTTGAACTGCTTTATCCTTCGGAGTGGGAGCGAGGCTCAGGGAGTAAGGTGCAAATAATATGTGGGAGGGGAGTAAATCTGGGTGTGTTGCCTCCTGTTTTTTTATCACTCATAGGGACTCTGACAGGTTGTAATAAGTGAAAAGGCAAATTGTCTTCTTATTATTGTTTTTAAATTAAAATATATATTTAACTATTATAAAAATACATACCTTATCCCTTGGCTCGGTTTTGTCTTTTTTATAGCTATAACTTCGTATAAATATCTCTAAAGCTTTTGGTCCTAAATGCCTTTTTACGATGTTATTGTACCATAAACCCACATATGTTTATATTGATATTATTGTATTATACGAATTTCCCACCCGTGTTTGATAGGAATGGGAATGAGGCCAGGTCATCCTAAAAAATTATATTCCTATAACACCCCCCCCCTCTCCCATTCACATTGGAATTTTGTCCAATAGGATTTATGCTCTCTTCGCAAATAATTATAAATATGATATAAATTAGACTTAATATTAGCTAACATATATAAATTTTAAATTATATAACCTAATTGAGGAAATCCCATTTTATAAATAAACTAGCCAATTACATATTAGGATTAATGGAAAAATCTCGTCAGACTATTCGCCAAACCACGGCCAATATTTTTTGACCACATGCTTAAACAACTATCAAATATTTGCTAAACAACAACCAAATTTTTATTAAAATGCAATAAGGTTCTTTTTCAAATAAAAGCCATAATCACGTGGTTGTTTTTGTTATTCCATATGTTATACCCCGTAGCCCACAAAAGGTGGCTTTATAAAAATATGGTACTTTGCTGGATGAGAACCCAGAACTATGCGATTGGATATGATACACACACCCTCTCCCTTCCCCCTAGGACACAAACGATATTTGAAATCAAACAAATAAAAGGATTTAAATTTTATGCAAAAAAATATAAAAACCAATCTTGTTTGACGGGATTTAATACTACTCTATTAGAATATCACAGAATGGATTGCTTGCAATACTCCATTTTTAAAAATTATTATGCCCCTCCCTTAGTTCCTCTTTTTATATACATATAAATAATTAATTCTTTTTTTCTTTCTTTCTTTCTTTATTTATTTATTTACTTTCTTTCTTTCTTTCTTTCTTTCTTTCTTTCTTTCTTTCTTTCTTTCTTTCTTTCTTTCTTTCTTTCTTTCTTTCTTTCTTTCTTTCTTTCTTTCTTTCTTTCTTTCTTTCTTTCTTTCTTTCTTTCTTTCTTTCTTTCTTTCTTTCTTTCTTTCTTTCTTACTTTACTTTCTTTCTTTCTTATGCCCATCACTCTTTTTCATCAATATATTTAACATATTTTTTGTTTTAATAGTAGCACTAGCTATACAAGTACTGTATTAAAATTTACTGACAAGAGATACTGATATGTTGGCGATGTTCATTATTACATTGGAATTGAAAGCGTTTTACCTAGAAAACACTCCATAGATGGGTAAAAATCCTCTCTCACCCCCCCCCCCCCCACTTCCTAAATAAAAATAGGAAAATGATATAGAACACCTAAATGTTGCAGCAAAATATCATGCACCACACATTGGTGAAATATAATGCCAGAAACCAGATTACAAAAATTTTCAAGTAAAGGAATTAGGTTCAAAGGATTAATTAATATTCGGATTTTTAATTGTTTAAATTTTATATGGGGATCGTAGCGGAAAAATTATTTAGGACTTTCAGCCTCACGAGATCCTTGCCTGCTTTATCACTCATTGGTTGGTTGTAGTGCCATTAAACGGTTCATTTTGAGCCGATTTTTAAAAAACGGCTGACTCAATATTCTATTAAGAAAAATATGCCGCCAAGTCTTAAGATTTTGCTCATAGTGGCACAAAGGTTTGATAGACAATATTTTTCTGGCTGAAATATTGAATTAGCCGTTCATAAAATTCGGCTCAAATTGAGCCGTTTAACAACACTAGTTGGTTGTAAAAGAATTAAAGTATATATCGACCAAACTAAAAAAATCTTTTAATACCTTTCTGGCATTTTTTTAAAATATATTTACATGTTTCATTAATAGATGGTAGTTTATGTTCCGACAATGAATTTTGCGATGAACATGGCGAATGTCAATGCAAAGATTGGAAATATGGGCCTCAATGTGATCGAGGTTTTTTAATTTTTGCCAATTATATAAGAGTTAGGGTCCCTAGAAAGTCTTGAACTTATAGTGAAATCCCCTAAACTTAAGTTCATTTATAATGGCGCGTTTGAATTCCCGATAAATCTGATTATTCCAAAAATCATTATGAAGCGTATGCAGAGTATCTATTCCTCGAATATCTGACAATTTTTGTCAAGAAAACTTTGGGGAGAACCCGTAATTTATATTTAGCGATCTGAGAATAGGCCCGTCCCAAACGGGTAACGGGCCGGTCTTTATTTTTTTTTAAAAAAATAAGGTTCGGGTTCGGCCGGGCCTAATATTTTTTTAAAAAATTGGGCTGGGTCAGGTCAGGCCTTGGAAATTTTTTTTAAATATATCTAAATTCATCAATTTTATGTAATTTTTTGTGTAAAATAAAAATATTCGATTTTATTCATATAAACTAGAACTACATATGACATATATCGTTTATTTCGAGTAATTATATAAAATAAAACTAATTTCTATATTTAAATAAATTCGGGCCTCCTGAGCGGTTAAATTTTTTAAAAAAAAATTGGAGTTCGGGCCGGGTCGGGCTTGAAAAATTAAACCCGATGCTGCTATATATACTTCTGAAATACGACACCAGTAAAAATAAGTATTTTTGATATAATTTTTTTCTCAATTCGCTAAATTCCGAGTCGACGAAAACATGTACTCCTGGCTAAATCATGCTAAAATATAATCTATAATCCATTAATTTTTATTTATCAACAACTCTTAAAAAAAATTATACATTAACGAAAATAGAATCAACTTGCAATAGGAATAATTCGATTTCAGCGTACATCACAGGAACTTGTGACTGTAAAGAGGGTTACTATGGCGATAATTGTGAATCAGGTAATATTTCTTTCCCATAAAATATCTTATAATTTATAAAATATAGAATGTCAAAAATACGATTATTTTTTTTCTAGGTCCTAACCACGGTCCGGTCTTTATAGAATAAAATCGGTTTTTAGGTTCCTACCCGCGATAAACCAACCCCTTACATTCTATAATTAGTGTATTTTAAAACGGCTAACTCAATATATTCGAGATTCAATATATGTCTAGTAGTGATCTGCATTGGGCCTAATTTTTCAAGCCCGGCCCGGTTTTAAAAAAGTTTTGCCGGCCCGGCCCGAACCCGAAATATTTTTTAAAATAATTTACCGACCCGGCCCGGCCCGAATTTATATTAAATATATAAATTAATTTTTACAATTACTCGAAATAAAAGATATATGTTATGTGTCGTTTAGTTTTAATAAATAAAATCGAATATTTTTATCTTACATAAAAAAATTCAATTATAAAATTGATAAATTTAGATGGTACGGGCCGGGCTCTGCTTCGCAGATCTCTAATGTCTAGACCTTCGTTCCTTTTTATGAACAAAGTCTTCAGACTTGCGTAACTATTTTTTTGGATAAAATATGGAGTTAGCTATCTATAATTTTTTTAGGAGGTTAAAAAAAAATAGAGATACTTTCTTTTAAAATAAGCTAGAGACGCCAACGTTTATAATATATATATTTTAATAATTTTTTTTTAAAACAAAAAAACTTTATCCAAAGAATGTCCCACCGATTGTCAAAATTCGTTCTGGCACAATAGCTGCGATCATAATGGGACATGCAATTGTAGGCCAAACTATTATGGGTCGAAATGCGAAAACGGTAATAAAAAAAAATGAAATAAAAATAATTTTAACTACTTAATTTTTATATATATAAATACTATATATATATTTATAAATATAAATTTAGAGTGCAACTGTACAGGTAATAGGTACTGTGATTCTAGAGGAAGAGGCATACATCCCGATTGGTATTACTTACCTAATTTAGATTTAAGTATGATGGACTAAAAATTAAATTAAATATAAGATTTGCTTTTGAAGTTAAATCTTTCAAAAGATTTTGTATGAATTTAAGTATATAAATTTTAATAATATTATATATATATATATTTTTTTAAATTATATTAAATCTTATTTAATATTTATTATTTTTAAATATAAATTTTATATTTATTTAAGTTATATGCCCATATGAAAATAAAATGAATTTGGCATTCAAATCATTATAATTTTAATAATATTTTTTTTAAAAAAAGCGTTAAATATCAAAATGTAACTTTAAAATTATCTAAAAAACAGATACAGATACAATCTAAAAAAAAGTATTTAGATATAGATACAGTTACTTTTTAAAAGAAAGTTTCTAGATACAAATACCACATCTTTAACAACTCGGGTGTTTTCTAGTAAACGGAAAATATTCTAGATTTACTTCAGTTCTCTAGATGAATGGGGTGGGTTAGTTCGGGAGTCACTTATATTCAGATTCTAACTATTTTCACCTTCTATATAATTATTTTGAGTCAATTACTGAGGTGGTTAATGGGTGCACTTTCATGGAAAGCGGTGTAAGAGTAAGAAGATGAGGAGGGAGGGAATAATTTTTTTTTCTTTTTCATTTAAATGAGATTTACTCACTTGTAATGAATCATTTATTGATTTAAAATATATAACCATATTTATATTTGTTTATAGGAATATCACGTGAATGATAATCATATTTATATTTGTTTATAGTAATATCACGTGAATGATAACCATATACGTGAATGATAACCATATTTATATTTGTTTATAGTAATATCACGTGAATGATAACCATATTTTTATTTGTTTATAGGAATATCACGTGAATGATAACCATATTTATATTTGTTTATAGTAATATCACGTGAATGATAACCATATTTTTATTTGTTTATAGGAATATCACGTGAATGATATCCATATTTATATTTGTTTATAGGAATATCACGTGAATGATAACCATATTTATTATTGTTTATAGGAATATCACGTGAATGATAACCATATTTATATTTGTTTATAGGAATATCACGTGAATGAAGAGAAGCATAGTGATAAGAAAAAAAATCTTAATAAATAATATGAATCAAAATATTCTGGGAAATTTATCATTTTCATGATCATAATTATATATATGTTAAAATTTACCATATTCTTATTATAATATTTTATATTGGCACAAAAAAAAAGGGAGAATTTTGAATAGAATTAAAAAAAATTAGCAGCCATTCATATTCGAAATTTGATTTAATCAAAATGAATATACACTGACAAATGATAACTTATCCTCAAAAAATTGAAAACGAATGCATCATATACTTTTCAGAGGATAAGGTTCAGAATGTGGACAATCCTACTACGACTGGTGTCAGGTTAGAGTTTGGTTAAAAAAAATAAAAATAAGTGCTATAAATGCAAAAACAAGGCATTATTACTAAGAGGATCATCTTTATCGAAGTTATAATATCTCTATGTCGTTCATGTCCGTTATATGTTAAAATGCGAATTTATATTAATTAATAGTTATCATTAATTGACCTAAATATAAAAAATAATGATGAATTATGGATCTCCAACATAATCAATAAAAATTTGAGATCATGAAGACAAAAATATTTTTAAAAATTTTGTTTTAACTTATATAAGAACCAAAGTCAATGCTTTAATTTAGAAAAAAAAATGATTAAGAAATAATAATCCTAAGGCTGAATCTGGGTTGGAAAAATGATGCCCTAAGAAAAGGCGATATTGTGAGATAAATTATTTCATAGAATGAGGGCACGTAAACTGAGGATAAATCCGTATTGGAACTTGTATTTGTAATTACCACGAAGGTAAATATCTCAGCTTTCTAAAAAGAATATTATATTATTTAGGCTAGAGAATACTTAGATTAAACTTTAATAGCTGCTACCAGTCACAGCTGAAATCGAAATGTTTGCATTGCTTACCGATATATTTTTGTGATGAAATATTTTTTTTTTAAACAAGAGGACATGTCTTTGAGGATAAAGGTAGGGTGAGAGGATTTAAGTTGTGAGCAAGGAATATATTCAACACTCACATACTTAGGGTAAGTTCCTATTGGGCATCGCCAGATTATATGTTATATTTAATGGACACCTTTATCAAACCGTTATTTATACTGTCATATAAGTCTTTAAATATATTATTTTTTTTAGCATAAAGCACATATCTACAGTAGGACGGAGTTTTTATTTTCTATCCTTTGGGCCTTCTAAACTTAATAAATGAAGAGAGAATGAGCCAGATGTTCATATTTGGAAGTTTTTTTTTATGGAAAAATAAAATTAGGTGTAGTAAACAACATTTATTCATTATTGCAAATACTTCTTAGAAATTTAGTTTTGAATTTTTAAAATTAGTATTTAGTATGGGTCTCATCAAAATTTTGAAGTCATAAAAGTGTCAACAATATCTAACCCTCGTTTTTATAATAAGAGAGGAAGGAAGGGAGTTTCATTTTTTTAGCCTATAAATAGAGCTAATATTAGCTTATTGTTTTATTTACACGCATGCGCATCGATAAAAAATTAGCATTTTTAGGCGCCTATTTTGTGCATTTTTTTTTAAATGCCTCTTCGAAGACTTAGTCCTAGAAGTAAATTAGGTTCGCTTCAATGATTGACATAATTTTTTTTATCTGTAACTCAAACTTTATTTCGAAGGAAATCTATACAAAACGCAAATTAACGCGATATTATGACCTACTAAGCCATAAGTTTTTAAAAGATTTTTTCTTTTTTGAAATTATTACTTAGAAGACTCAAATAGTTGATAGATAAATCCTTTAATAATTCTTTAAAAATCATCCCCAAAATAAAAAAAAGAGATTTTTTAAAATAAAGAGAGTAGTAAATATATTTATACCATAATAGAAATAGAAATAAATTAAAAAATTTGAGTAAAATTTAAGGTAGAGAGGTGAATATACCATTTTTACAATAACAAATATCTAATTAAATATAGCAGATTTAAGCAATTTTAGTATAGTTCTAATCATTATTAAAAAACTTTAGAAAAAACACATCCATAATCAAGAGTTCATATACATAACTCTTATTAACAAACCAATGTTTAGCTAAGAATTTTTTTTTTAAATTTAAAATTTAAATTTTTATCTTTTTTCTTATTTTTTTATGTTTAAATATTAAAGGCTATTTTATAAAAAAATTATCAAAAATGTTAAAGAATATCTTGTTAACTCTACTAAGTGCATTCTTAATGGGTAAGATTAATTAATTATATTTTATATTTAAATCTATAGAAATTATTTTTAATAATAATAGTATAGTAAAAACCTCTATTACACTTAAATTTACCCAAAATTGCATACTAAACCCCCCCCCCCCCCCAAGTTTAAATTTATAATTTTCAACCCGATTAATGATTTTTTCACAATTAATTTTAACCCTTTTAATTAATTTATTAGCCATTTATAGTTGGTATGTGTGTTATAGAAATTAAATTAGAGAACTAATTGTTTGGTAGGATATACATGATATTATTGTATAAATTCTAATAATAACTAAGTTTAATAAAAAAAAAAATTTTGAAATATTCGAATTGTATATTTATAGCTCCTATTTCCCAAATGTCTTAAAATGAATGAATTATTATGTTTTGCTGATATTAAATTGTCCATATTAATGTTCCATAGATTATAAATGCAGATACCCCAATGTACATGTCATTATTGATAATATGTGTTTCCGCGATTATATATTGAAATGTATCGGAGATATTATATTCGAAATCATCATAAGGGGAGAAGATTCGATAAATTCCCTGAACGTCTTCAAGGCGTCCCGATACAATTCAAAGGAGCGATTCGATACAATTTAAAGGAGCGATTCGATACAATTTAAAGGGACGATTTGATACAACACCACCATAGAGAGAGGGACGCTGGGCTTGTGAAGGGTGGGCGTGTTGAAGCTGTTGAAAAAAAGAAGAAATAAATTTAATATAATACATCAAATGTCAGTTATTTTCTGACAGGGGAATTAGTTTTTCCTGGTGGATGGGAGGAAAACGAAATCATCACATGGGTTGTTGTTAGAAAGAAAAGTTTCTTTGTTTGGATTTGGAGTGAAGATATTGGATGAAGACGGGATTGATTGGGGAAGATTTAATATTGTTAATATCTATAATGTTATATGTGCATAAATAAAGATGACTTGTAGTAATGTTTATTATATTTATTTAATATTATTAGAAAGGATTATTTTGGATAATAAGTTATATTTTTGAGAGTAAAGGGTTGAGAGTAGTTTATATGTTTTTTTACCAATACTTACCCTATCTCACTTCTATTCAATCCATTCGATCTTTCGTACTGCAACATTTGCTTTTGTTTTCGCTTCCAATTCCTCTTGGATTTCCATCTTCCATCGTCTACTTTCTTTTTTTTTATTCTCTATTTTATTGTTAGTTATGTTGTTTATCTCTTATTTTTATGAGTGATTCTTATTTGTACAATATTGAGCGCTTTGTTTAGGTATGAAGTATTAATTAATAGTATGTTTTGGTTTAATGAGGATGGCTGGGGGGGGGGTGTCTAATTTCTTCTTTCTCATATAGATAGATGTTGGATTCATTTACTTGTGAATAAATCATTTAATCATTTCAATATAACCATTTTTATATTTGTTTATAGGAATCACGGGGGGGGGGGGCATAGTTTAAAAAATACAATATTAATATGGATCAAAATATTTTGGGCAATTTAATCATTTTTAAGATCATCATAATTTTTAATTACTGATATATTTGTTTAAAATTTACCATATTCTTATATAATATTTCATATTGGCACAAAGAGGAAATTCTAATAAATTAAAATTTGCGGCTTTCAATATTGGAATTTGATTAATCAAAATGGAAATGTACTGACACCTCAATACTTACCTAGACAGAATAAATGATTTATTGTTTATTTTCAAAATTATTGTTGAATATAAAATCAGATGGGTGGGGTCACATATGATTATTTTTTTATAAATGAATAAATTTATCACATATTGGAAACTAAATATTAGCGTTACCAACTGATTCGCATTGATACCCAATATATGTTGAAAAACGATCTTCGAAGATTTTTGCAAGATTTATTTGCAGAGATTTTGAACAGATCACCAAAATTGAAGAATAAATACAAAAGATCTTTTTACAGAAATTATTTAGTATTTTAGGTAAAATTTGATTTATCTGTAATGGGCATTTCCCAAATTTTTTTCTCTTATTTATCTTCAGATATCAATAATTTTTAGAAGATTGTTTTTATTTTCGAAAAGAATTTCAAACGCTATGTCAGTCAGGTAGTATTGACAGTCATCATTGGATTAAGTATAAGAAATGACAATATTTTAAATAGAATTTGAGGAAGTTTGACGTTTCGATGATCGATTGTTTGTACAAATTATAATTTGTCCGATATAATATATGAAACACCCTTTAATTGGATTCCAATCAAGAAAATATGTATACTATAAAAATATTTAATTTATTTTCTAATATAAAAACTATTGTCGTGTTAAACGTCTTTCAATTACATATTTTAGTCAGAAAAATATTGTCTGATTCTCGACATTTCATTAATAGATGTTCAAACTGTTGTGGCATCTATGGGGAAAATCTTAAGGCTTGCATAGTATTTTTCCCAAAAAATGAGAATTTACAACACTAATAAAAACACTAAAAGTCGCATATACTTTTGTATATTTTCAACAAATTTTTTATAAATTAAAAAAATATTTCTTTATATACAAAAAAAATATACTAAATTCTACCATTCTTAAAAATTAATGAATATTAATTTAATTTAATTTAATTTAATGGAAGCGAGGCAGGAAATTATTAAATTCATTCTTTGTAAGAGACTATTAACCGGGGGGGGGGGGAGTGGCGGCAGGTTAGGTCTAAATTTTTAAAATGGGTTGAAGGGCGTGTTTGTGTCTTGTGGCTGTCATAGTCTCAGCCTCTTGCCTAATGGCATGATACAATCATCGGCTGTTGCATATTCAGCATTAATTTCCATGTGAAGAACTAAAAGATGAAAAAACAGTTTTTGAAAGGAGTTGAAAATGAACCTATTATATATTCCTGAAAAAAAAATAACACTTTGAGT